TTCATAATTTTTGAACGCTTTTGTTTGTTTACTTTTTATGTTATACCTGTATAAAGTATATACTTTATCTTTAGAAACTGTAGTGTTTCTATCCATCGATATGTAGCGCCATCCGTTGAGCTGAATTGGGTTGAAAATATATTTATATATATATATGTATATATATGTGTGGATTTTTATTGAAATATCAAAAGTGGATACCCACAGACCAGTCAAGTAAGCTGGAGAAATATTGTAGCGATAGTCCGAGCCGTTTAGGCACTAGACCCGCTGACGTGATCTGGTAGGTAGCAAAAAAGTTGCTGTTATATAAATTTTCCAATTGTTACACTGGAAATGTTAGCGACCTTTTTAGGTATTATTAGCATATATGCGCATAATATATCGTAACCAATACTTTGAATGGTCGGTTTTCGCTTAGTATTCAATAGTGTGGTTTTTCGGCATGTGAATTTTTTTCAATCCTTGTCGATTCCTATTATTAAGTATTGCCATACTTAAAATACATTCATCGGATATGCGTATATGATAGTGTATGAGAAAGGAGAAGTGGTTTAGCATAAGCTCCTTGTCACACTTTAAAGGTATCTGTTTTACTAGTAATTTATCACCAATAGCTGTATATGTAGTGGTGCTGATATTTTATGTGCTCGTCACTGCTTCGTCTTCTAATGTAAAATTCATATTATAAGACAAATGCCCGGAATAGGTGGTCTTATTGAATTTGTAGCGTTAGTTTATACATGACTACTGTTCAGTCTTCCAATCTAAAATCTGTGGGTCGCGGGTTCGAATTCCCTTCACCAAACGTGCTCGCCCCTTTTAGACGTAGGGCGTTATAATGTGACGATCAGTCACACTATTTTGGTAAAAGAGTTGTCCAAGAGCTGGTGGTGAGTAGTGTTGACTAGCTGCCTTCCTTATAACCTATCACTGCTAAATTAGGGATGGCTAGCGCAGATAGCCATCGTGTAGCTTTGCGCGAAATTCAAAACAAACCAAAACGATGTAAAACTGTTATTATCAAACAAAAATAGTCTTGGTTCACATACAGTTAATGTTCAGTCTCCAAAGGTAAAATTGTTCCCATTAGACAAATATCCAGAATTGGTGGTTTTATTGAAACTGAAGTGTAACATTGTGTTAGTTTATATACAAGTACACTTTGGAATACAAAATGAACGAGAATTCTCAAAATGTCGTGTACTGGTTACTCATTAGTTGTTGCATAGGTGGCACTTTTATATAAAGTAGATTGATAATAGAGTACAGCTTAATTCGCGTCATTTTGAGTTCAGTGTAACAAGGGTATAACTTAAACGTGTGTTAGCTTTCATATGATTTTTGATTTTATAGGCTCTTTTATATTTATGAACTGTTTCCATAGTTAAATGTACAGTTCAATTCAATCACAGAATAATGGTTCAGTTATATGATATAGTATCATATGTTTGTTGCCAACTGTTTCATTGTATCATACATATACAGGTCTAAATATTACAATATACAGACACACTATTAAATACTAAATATTATTCAGCTTTGTGACATGTTACCTTTAGCAGGCTTGCTCGCTACATACTCAGTTAAGCCGTTGTTTCAGGCTTGCTCACTACACACTCAATTAAGTCATTTTACCAGGCTTGTTCACTACATACTCAACTAAGTCATTGTAACAGCTTTGCTCACTGACATTCAAATACATTCTGTTACTAGGTTTATTCACTTCATACTCACATAATTTTTTTTATTAGGTTTGTTCGCTGGATACTAATCTAAATATTTTTGCTAGATTTGTTCACTGAATACTCACCTAAATCTTTTTACCAGCTTTATTTACTGCATAATAATCTAAATCTTTTTTTGCCAGGTTTGTTCAATTGATATTCAACTATATCCTTTTTATTAGATTTGCTCACTTCATTCTCATCTAAACTCGTTTCATCAAGTTTTTTCACTGTATACTCAAGTAAGTTCTTTTATCAGTTTTGCCCACTGTATATTCAAGTAAGTTCTTTTATCAGTATCGTCCACTGTATATTCAAGTAAGTCCTTTTATCAGTTTCGTCCACTGTATATTCAAGTAAGTTCTTTTATCAGTTTCGCCCACTGTATATTCAAGTAAGTCCTTTAATCAGTTTCGTCCACTGTATATTCAAGTAAATCCTTTTATCAGTTTTGCACACTGTATATTCAAGTAAGTCCTTTATCAGTATCGTCCACTGTATATTCAAGTAAGTTCTTTTATCAGTATCGTCCACTGTATATTCAAGTAAGTTCTTTTATCAGTATCGTCCACTGTATATTCAAGTAAGTTCTTTTATCAGTTTCGCCCACTGTATATTCAAGTAAGTCCTTTTATCAGTTTCGCCCACTGTATATTCAAGTAAGTCCTTTTATCAGTTTTGCCCACTGTATATTCAAGTAAGTCCTTTTATCAGTATCGTCCACTGTATATTCAAGTAAGTTCTTTTTATCAGTATCGTCCACTGTATATTCAAGTAAATCCGTTTATCAATTTCGCCCACTGTATATTCAAGTAAGTCCTTTAATCAGTATCGTCCACTGTATATTCAAGTAAGTCCTTTTATCAGTTTCGCCCACTGTATATTCAAGTAAGTCCTTTTATCAGTTTCGTCCACTGTATATTCAAGTAAATCCTTTTATCAGTTTTGCCCACTGTATATTCAAGTAAGTCCTTTTATCTAGTATCGTCCACTGTATATTCAAGTAAGTTCTTTTATCAGTATCGTCCACTGTATATTCAAGTAAATCCTTTTATCAATTTCGCCTACTGTATATTCAAGTAAGTCCTTTTATCAGTATCGTCCACT